CGAGCGGCGGGAACCAGCGCCCCCTGCCGCCGCCCGCCCCGCCCCGCCGGCCGAGGACGCTGCGGGCGGAGCGGGCTCCGTGCCCCGAGGAGGGTGAGAAACCGCCCGGGACGCTGGGGCGGGGCCTCCGCCCTGCCCCGCCCCCTGGAGGCAGCCCCGGAGGGAAGTTGCGCTCCAGCGGCGACCTGCAGCACGTGCGGGGCGAGCGCCTCCCCCCGCGGACGGGCCAAGGCGCTCGCTCCGCCGCAGGTGAGCCGGATCCCTCCCGCGTCCTCTCGTGCCCTGCGCCAGCGGGCAGGCGGGCCTCGCTCCTTAACCCCGCGGAGCGGTTGGTCCCAGCCCCCGGCTTCACTGCGGGGCCGTCCCGCAGGAATCAAACGAGGTGGAGAAAGGAGGCCTGGCCCGGCCCCTTCCCGCTGAACTCGCCCGTACACTTTAGGGCGGAGGGGGAGGCTGTGGCGGGTACTGGCCTCCCGGCAGAGCTGCACGTACACATTTAACAGACACCTGGCTGGGGCAGTGCCCTTTCCATCCGTTTCCCACGGTCACCCCGAGAGCTCACTCGGCGTTAGCACAGCTGAAACGAAGAGCCTGGCGCTCGGGTCTTGCGAGCCGACAGAGAAGCACGGTGGTGGCTTTGAAGGCAAAGAGGAGCAGGTCAGCTTTTGAACAGCGGCACCAATCCAGACCACTTTCCCTTCAAATAAAGACATTGGAAAAAGTAGTCCCAGGTGAAGGATAATTATCTTGGCTTCTAATTGCACAGGGCCACTAGGCACAGGAAGGGTTGCATATTCAGCCATTCAGGCACAGGTGCTTACAAAAATGCTGGATAGAAGTACTGCCTCCACCCATGCACCCTTCAGTCTTATTTGCTCATGCTTTGGCACTACAATTTACTGGAGCGGTAGACACCTTTTCTACTTCAGAGCATAGCCGCTCTTCCCCATTTTAATTGAAGTCATGCCTGTTCAAAAAGCTTGCTAATCTTTTACTCTGGCAGAAATCTATGCTGGTTCTCTAAACCATTACCTTGGTCAGGACAGGCCCCCTGAAAGCTCTCACGCTTGGGCCTAAATCCAGCTTCCACACCTTCCGTGGGAGCAGGACTCCTAAATCCTACGGAGCTCAATGCAGCTTAAGGAATGTTAACTATTGATACAGACATACTCTTATACATGAGGTACTGAGACATGTTCTGCACCATTTTACTGCATGCAATCTTTCAGCTTGCTTGTAGTACTAGATACAAGTTTCTGCCATTCTTGTAAGTTGACAAGAAGAGAAAAGTAGCTTGTCTCATTCTTGCTACAGGAGCATTTCTAACACTTGAAACACATTAAGTCACACATTAAACTTAATGGATAATTGCAAAGATTTTCATAATAAATTAGTCAAAGAATGGGCATTTCTCAACAACCAGCTTTGACCAAATACATTCCTTGCAGGCAATTTAAAGCACTGGATGGGTACCTTGTATTGCTTCACTTAACACACAAAACATTTTTTCCATAACAGACACTATTTACCAGAATAAAGAGATTCCCAAGATGTTTGCTTTTATCATTGCAAGTGTAAAGCTTTTCAAAGCTAGGGATGAGCAACTGCACCAGGACATATAAACAGTATTGTCTGCACAATATGGCAGGATTTTGTCATATAATCCTGAAGTTTCTGTACTGCCCCTTCCCCCACTCTGCTCTGCCCTGCCCCCCCCCCACCAAAAAAACAGGCTCCAAGTGGAATTGGATTACCCATCACTCCCAGTAATCAGCTGTGAACAACAGATTTGGCAGAGCCTTATTTTTGGTCCCTTTCAAAATCCAGAGGCAATAAACTTTATAGCTCCATAGGCCTTACACGGCAATTAAGTAGTTCTTCCACTCTGATAGCAGAAAAATGTCTTTTTTTAGAAACATCATTTAGGATTAGGTCTATAAAATGTTTACTTCCTGCAAGACTCTTAGTACTCTGACAGTTACTAGAAGCATGCCTGATAATGCTGAGAAGTTAGCTATTTATCAAAAACATATTCATTAGACAGCATTTTGATGCAGCATTATCTAGTGCGAGCCATTAGAGACAAGAGAGCACCATGCTTCTCTCTGACACATTTTTAAATCTTTGTTTCACAAAAAACTAAAACTAAAACTTGTAATCAACTTGTAAACACCGAAGGCCCAACTCTATCATCCTGCACACTTGGTCACTTATCCCAGAGCAAAGTGGAGGTAAATCATTCCTACTCGAATTTCACTTTCAACAGGGTTAAGTGACAAGGTGCAAAGCAGTAGCTTAGCCAGTGTTTGCACCAAACAAACCTATTCAAAATGTTTGGTTTTATTAGTTCAAAACCAGCACAAGCATTTATGATCCAATTCAACTGTTATGGAAAACAATAAAAACTGGTTAAGACCCTTTTGGAGCGCTTCTCTACCCAACCTGCATGTGCAGTAACTAGAGACTGACCTGTAACTAATTCTCTAGCATCCGATACTACCATGACTGGCTATGACAGATTCCTCCCAGAGAGGACCTCAGTCCAGAGAACCTGTTTTTATTACATGAAGATTGACAATTATACAATTATTTACCAATAAAATTGTTCTTTACAGGCTTTTAAATGTCTATTCATTTAAATTTGAAATTAGTGGTTTATATAGCATTGCACACTTTAAAAATCAATGTATAAATGCTTCTTATTGCTAAAATGGGTTTCAACATGCCTCTTGCCATTCTGTCTGGGTAGTTCTGGATGTACATTTTAGATACATTATTCTTTTCACTTGAACAAGCTGCATTTCATTAGCTCATATTTGAATATAAACACCACCAATTTTAGACTGGAGACTGCATGGCATCAACATTCCACATGCAAAGCAACGACTTAGGTATTGTATAGGAATGTAATTCAGCAAAGAAACTCTTACAGAGTGATTTTATTCCATTTCAACTAGGATAAGTATAACTAAATCAAAGTCGGCTTACATCTCAACTGAGAAAGCTATTTACCCAAAAGATTATAAATAAAAAAAATCCTACAACGAAAACTCTCAAATCTTGTGGTCATTTTAGTACTTATTAATACTGGTTTGCACAGTTTTTTTCATTGAACAGAGCTACTGGAGAAGAGACGGTATCTTATTCATACCAGTGGAAATGCTTAAGTAAAACTGTTAATATATGGAGGATCAGATACTTTTCTTCTGGTGAAAGAGATTTAACTTATTAACAAATCCATTATTTTCACATAAGAGGAAAGTAACCACATTTCATTTTCACTTGGCTATTCAGCTAATTCAACAGAAATTGAATGCATAGATCACAGTAATTACTGCCAATTAATATTGTATGTTGATAATATCAGATAACTTGTAATAAAATGTACCTACATTAAATATTCTTTCCAGATATGGAAATGATGGAACATTATTTCAAATCATTGAAATTGAGGTTCAATTTACAGAGCTACAGGTTGCTTTGTAATACAGAAGAAATAAGCACATAATAAAGGCGGTCAAGTTTGAAAACTATAGACAAAAGTTTGCCAAGATACAAGAAAACAAGCTAGGGAATCAAAAGCATGTTCTGTTCAGTGAAGACCATCAGTCCCTTTGTGTACACATTTAGTTTTATTGTAACAAAGCAACTTGTACACTTTAACGTTTAAAACTGAGCATCTTTCTTTCCTTTCCAGTGAAACGAAAAAAAAAAAAAAGAAGATTTTAAAAATAAACAAGAACAAAATTACAATAGAGAATGTCAATTCCAAATAGGATCCTACAGGTTCTGCTGATTCTCCATCAAGTGGCAGGGCTCAAAGTCATCATTAGGAGAAGATTTTATTTTAAAAGTGTCATCTTAAACTGCAAGGATGTTTGTTAAACATCACAATTAAACATGCCAAAGGAGAATAAGCCATGTTGTCAAAATGCCCACTTAACCCACCCAAACATCTGAAACCCACCCTTTGCTGACCCTCTATAACCCCATTTTTTTATTTTTTTTTTCGTTTTTTTAAACAAGAGAAAGTAGACAGATACATGTTGGTAAATGCTAACTGTCCATATTCACATAGAGACACAGTGTAATCTCTGAGCCCAATATACAGAGAAAGAAGGAAAAAAGCTAGATTCTATGCACTACTACACAGGGGCCTAGCACTCTTCAGCTTCCAGCAGAGTGAAGGGAGCAGAAGGTTTTCTTTTTTCCCACAGAACATGGTGTGTTGATTCCATAAACAGTTTTTGTTTTGAGACAGAAAGGGATAAAAATGAACTCGGAACAGAAACTGGTAGAGATTTTTTCCCCACTGTATTCTGCTCAAAGTATTTCCCCCAAAATAAATTGTGAACCATGGTGTAGAGGAGAGAAAAAGAGACCTCAAGAGAACAAGGCGACTGAGCACAAGAAAAAAAAGACAGCAACTTGCTCCCAGGGACTGGAGAAAAAATTAAAAAGGTAAAAAGGGGGGAGGGTTGGAATCCATCAGTGTTCAGTTAGTCATCTTCTCCTTCATCCTCCTGTTAGGAGAAAAGCAACAGTTAAATCCTATTTACTATGTCAGTCACCAGCACCTCTTGCTACTCTACAAATTATAGTCTTGTTATTCCTTCAGGACATGTTTAAGGCTTGTCTCTCCTCCCTCAGTAAGGAAACTGGTAGGTTGGTGGGAAGGGGGTGGGGTTCCAGCATCTCTCTCACTACTAAGGTATCTAATTCAGATAAGTGATGGAGCTAGCTGTAGCTAAATTTTGAAGAAATGGCAAAAAGCGTCTAGAGCCAATAGGCATCTTCATTAAAAAATACAGTAAAAAACCTATCATACTAATTTCAAAAACTGAATTATCGAGAGTAAAAATCTTCATCTTTCAGATACTGGCATGAACTTTGCTAAAAAACCATGGTCAAACACATACTTGCATTAAATGCACAGACTGCAGTTTCCAAAACTTTTTCCTGCATCAGTCTAACATACCTCATGTAAAAGCCACTAAAAAAGGCTAAAAAAAAAGCTATTACATTAGAGAATATGCCCAATTACTTAGAATGCAAGATGCCCTGGAGATAATCCAGAATACAACGATTAATAGGTAGAAGGGTGACAACTGAATGTACCAAAAAAACCCAGTTTATAGGAATAAAGGTGAAAAATACCAGTAAAAAGCACAGACATTTCATTCAACTCAAACACCTGACTTTTCCTCATATTTCCTAGCTACTTTCCTAAAGTTACCCCCCTTCAACTGAACCACTGGAGTCACCCCCTAACTCGGGGTGGGCAAAATGCAGCCCCCCAAGCCATTCTATCCGGCTCACAGGGCCCCTAAAAAATGTAGAAAACTAATATTTATCTGCCCCTCACTGCCTGTCACACGGCCCTTGATGGCTTGCCAAAACTCACTAAGCAGCCCTCCACCCAAAATAATTGCCCACCCCCGCCCTAACTGCACTCAAACTCTTCAGAGCAATCGCTGCCTTCACATGCTTCCTCCAAGAAGTTTGATAATGTTCAACTGTACAAAGTAGCAAATTCTTTTTGACATTACAAACAAGATGCCCTTAAAAGTAAGGCTTTCCAATTCAACCCAAACTGCTTATAGACAGGAAGGGGGAAAAAAAACAAAAAAACAACAACTTTTCTTACCTCCCCTTCTTCTCCCTCATCATCATCTTCATCTTCCTCCCCCTCATCTTCATCTCCTTCTTCATCAATATCCTCCAATCCTTCCTCCTCTTCATCATCGTCATCATCCTCCTCTCCTTCCCCTTCTTCATCATCCATATCAGGAACCTTTATTAAAAGGCATGAATACAGCAGTTACTAAACTGATCAAACTTACCCATCACAAGAACATTGTTGCAAATAAGTATTAATCTCTCATCGTTGTACTTACCAAGTAGTACTGTAATGGATTTGGCCAGATGTCATCCTTGATGACCTCTCCTAATTCATCAGCACCAGCATCGGAGTGGTCAGTGAACCAAGTGAAGAAACTTTCTGGTTCTTCATGCTGCCTCTTCCTACTGGCCTTGTTCTGTGTCTGGCTTGAACGCTTTGTCAGATCCTGAGGTGGGGGCAAGAAGTTAAATGATCAGTTTTCCTGAAAGAATGTTTTATGTGACCATTCTCTAAAAAGCACCTGGATACAAGAAACAACTCATTCCCTCTGTTGAGAAGAGGTGTGTAGAAGACAGATTATACAGAACTGTGGGGGCATATAGTAGTTGATAACACATGGTTTTGTTTTAACAAAAACTTCCCATAAATAGGGCCAGTGGCAGCATAAAACCTGCGCTCTTTTTTGATAGCATTTAGGACAATTCTTAACTTGGTCTCAAGCCTTCTTCACCAAGAGGTTCACAATTCAAAAGAAGCTGTTGTCCTGTATTAAAATATTACTGCCTACACAGTAAAAGTGTGACAAGCCACTTCGTGAAGTGCTTCAAAGCCTTGTGAGAACTATTTAAATGCTAAAGCTTTAACACACATGTAATTTAAGAAACACTGAAGCAGACTCTAGACCTTTATGACATTGTCTTTAAACTTTTTCGTTTTCTCCGAAGTAAGCAAAGTTTAAGAGTCTCTTTAGTCCTATCCTTGGAGTTTTCCCTTTTAAATTTCTAGCGTCTCCCTTGCAGTAAGTAAAACAGAGAATACACAACAATTTTCAAATGACTGTCATATTCACTGGTTAAAAATGTACCAGAGGTTACAAGGCCATCATCTTGCTTTTGAGACTCCTTTGTAACATCTCACAATTTCCAAGTCTGGTAAGCAGATAGCTGTCCAGTGCTAAATCTGGATCTCTCTTTGCCACCTGATCTAGTTCCACACTTTAAGCTCTCACTTAGTTAAGCCAATATATTTGCCTAGAATACACCATTGCCTGAAACTTCAAAACAGCAACCAGTTATACCTCAAAGACCCCAAAACATAAGAGGAAAATTCTAATTTTCACTGAAACACGATTTTTTTTTTTACTAAAGCTAATGATGGACTGAAACAGTGACAACTGCAAAATCAAATTTTCAAGTGCATAGATACATACTTTCCCAGATTTCCACTTGATCTCAGTTGATTTTGAAGACGGATCACCACTCTCGTTCAGGTGAAACTCTTTGGAGAGAACTTTATTTTCAAAATATGGATTCTCATCAAAATACTGTGGAATGGAAAGCATTAGATTATGATGAAATATTCTTAGATTAGACAATATCTGCCAATTGAAAGATATTAAGTATTATGACTTTTAAAATATTGACTAAGAAACCACCATACAGATTGCTTTCAAATAAGAACAATGTAACAGTAAATAAAATAACGTACAAAATACTTACAAAATCTATTCTGTAACCTGATTTGATGTCTTCAAACTCTGTCACCTCCACTCTGGTCAAATAATGCAGTGCTTCCTCATCTTCTTCCCCCAACAGTGCAGAAACTACAACAGAAGTTACATTATGAAGATTTGCATGCATGTTATTTGTCTGCAAAGCATATAAAAATGGTCACTGAAAATAGATATAGAAAGTAATACCAAATATTCTACTTGTCCCACACTAACTTGAGAGGAAAGAGACAAGCCTCACAGGAATCAGAGATGTCATTAGAGAGTACCCTCTACCACAATCTACCAGAAAGAGGCCTGAAAAAACTTTAAAAAGGTGTAGTTGCTTCTTTGCAAAGAACAGTAAGAAATAATGCAGAACCCTAAAAACACAGTTCAAACTTGTTTTAGGGTGAAAGTGAGAGGAAATATTTGGGACAAAAAACATTGGAAATAGCTAAACTATTTATATGTTATAGTACCACTAGAAGAAGGAAGTCTTAGAAAAAAAACATGTATTGAAAAACATATATTGGGCAAATAAAAATCTAAAAAAGAAATTTTCCTCAATCAAAGCACCAGAGAAGAGTGTCAGACTTCAAGGTTTGTTTGTGTTTTTTGGTTTGGTTTTGTTTTTTAAAATGTTTTTCAAACAATACTAAAAACATACCTTGTGGGTGATTGACGAATGTTGTTACCCAGAAGTTTGGGATTTTGGCGATCAATTCTGACCTCTTCTGGAAGAATGGTTGGCGGAGTTTGTTGTATTTCTGTTCTACTTTCAAAATTTCCTCACTGGCTTGTTCATTCAGTCTAAAATAAAGCAAAGAGCTGCATCAACCCTGAAGCACAGGTTGGGAACCTTGAGTTTAAAGGAGGTGCACAAATTGCAGTAGCACAAAACTGTGTCAGCTTGACTTTGATATCCCTCAAACAGGGCTGTATTAACCAAACTAACAGCCCACTCCCACAAGCAGTACGTAGCATGCACTACCATAACTAATCCTACTGACTTCAATAAAACTATTCATAAATTTAACGCTATGCTTTGTAGCATTAATTGCAGAATTAAATCCTAAACCAGTAGCTGCTAACATACTAAATGTTTAGTTTATAAGAAGTGGTAAAAGGCAACACACAACCATGGATCAAATGCAAACTCAATACCTTTCTTTCATGTGATTTTTTTTTTTTTTTTGTGTTAGCGCAAGTAATGTACCACAAAAAGAACCTCTTAAGGAATTACAGGTCTCTCAAATATAATTAATTACAAAGGTGGGCCCTGATCCTGCAAGTGCTGTGCTTGGGC